TGTGACCTGAGCACCAGCTGCATCCCTGTGACCTCAGCACCAGCTGCATCCCTGTGACCTGAGCACCTGCTGCATCCCTGTGACCTCAGCACCAGCTGCATCTCTGTGACCTGAGCACCAGCTGCATCCCTGTGATCTGAGCACCTGCTGCATCCCTGTGACCGGAGCACCTGCTCCATCCCTGTGACCTGAGCACCTGCTCTATCCCTGTGACCTGAGCACCAGCTGCATCCCTGTGATCTGAGCACCTGCTCCATCCCTGTGACCTGAGCACCTGCTCTATCCCTGTGACCTCAGCACCAGCTTCATCCTTGTGACCTGAGCACCAGCTGCAGCCCTGTGACCTGAGCACCTGCTCCATCCTTGTGACCTGAGTACCAGCTGCAGCCCTGTGACCTGAGCACCTGCTGCATCCCTGTGACTTGAGCACTTGCTCCACCCCCTGTGTGACCCAATGTAACAAACTGTCTATAACTCCTGCCGTCCATGTATCCTGTCATAATGGACTGTACATATGAAGCATGAGCCCAAATTCTTCCTTCCTTAAGTTACTTTTGTCTGAAAGTCTATCTGCAAAACAAGAAAAGTAACTGACCAAAAGGTTGAGTCTCATATCCCAGACATGTGATTGTCAGAAAGCATAGAGGTGGGGCTGCAAGACAGGTGTGTCGGTGATCATCCCTTCTCAAGGAACGTGAACTGAAGCTTCGTTATGCCATTGGCTAAGGCAGTGTGCTGAATTTAGCACTGGCAGCATCTGAACTTCTGCTGGGGAAATCATCTAATCATGGAAATTGAGCGGAGTGGTTTCGCCTGATCAGTATGATGCTGAACTTAATCAAAAGGCATTTATTAAGTACTTAATTGCGCTCAGTGCAGTGCCGGATGCCCAGGAAGAGCACTGCGTGCACCTGGCCCCTCCTCCCCGGCCATACATAATATGGAGAAGTGCAGAGACTGGGTGCCGAGGACAGGAAGGAAGCCAGCATTTCATGAGTTCCTCAAGTGTAACAATCTTACACAAGGAAAGAGATTTCTTTTTCAGTGTTGGAGATTGAAGCCACTCTCCCTCAAGCTGCAAGGCGCACATTAACACGTCAGCCCTCACTCTCCCTTTATGATTTGATTTTATATTTTACAGATAAGAAAGGTGCTGGATTGCAAATCCTAGCTGAGTTTGGTAATTCCAAGGCTCTTCTCTCATCCTCGCTTGCCCTGGAAGGAGGGCAGATTGACAAGAAACATGTACTCAGAATAAAATGATTCCTTGAAACTGTAAGACATGATTGATGAGATGGCTAGGCCAGGAAAAACACTTGTCATCCAAGCCGATGACTTGAATGTGATCACTGGAACCCGTGGTGGAAGAAGAAAAACCACTGTAAGTTGTTGTCTGACCTCCACACATCATGGATCGTGCATACACCCATGCGTTCACACATCCAATAATTACAAATATGAATAATAATATACTATACAATCAGCTAGCACAGTGGCTCGTGCCTGTGGTCCCAGTGCTTGGGTGACAGAAATAAACACTGGAGAACAAGGTCATCCTCTCAACTGCATAGCAAGTTCAAGGTCAATCTGGACTTTCCTTTTGGAAAAGGAAAGAAATGGAAAGAGAACAAGATAAAGAAAGAGAAAAATGCTGTGCAGTGAGGCAGGCAGATCTCTGAGTTTGAGGTCAGCCTGGTCTACAGAGCGAGTTCCAGGACAGCCAAGGCTACACAGAGAAACCCTGTCTCAAAAAAAGAAAAAAAAAAGGCAAAATTGAAAAGAAAAAAGAAAAGAAAGAGAGAGGAAGGAAAGAAGTACAGAAGAAAGAAATAAATACGGAGAATGGCATGCGTTGCAGGTGGTAGCCTTTCCTACCTGTTCTTTCACACTGGAGAAGATTCTCAACCTGCATGAGTACCCTACTCTGCTCCTTGCCACTCGCTTCTCTCCATTTGTCCTTCTCATAGCTCTGTAACCATTCTTCTGCCTGTCATGCACCCCACTCCCAACCTCCCAGTAGTATCTAATGTCTATAACTTTGCCCTCATTTCTCTTTGAGCCCAGCCACACTGATTGTAAGTTGATGGCTGGGCTGTGTGGTACAAGATGCACCCTTCAGTTGTGAGAACAAGACATAACGACGATACTCTTAGTGACTGCAGCAAGCAATTATTACTGGGATCCAAGTCAAAAAGAAAAAAGTTAAAAGTTAGCATCTAAGCTGGAGGTGGTGACCCAGGTCTGTAATCTTAGCACTTGGAGATGAAAGTAGGAGGGGCAGGAGGTCAAGGTCATCTCTGGTTATATATTGAATTGGATGCCTGTTGTAAGGAGGCCCCTTGTTTGTTTTCCAGCTGCCCAGACTCCCGAAATAATCACATAGAAACCATTTTATTTAAATCACTGCTTGGCCCATTAGCTCTAGCTTCTTATTGGCTAGCTTTTACATCTTAATTTAACCAGTTTCCATTATTTTATATTTTACCATGAGGTTTGTGGCCAAACGGAAAGGTTCCAGCTTGTCTGTCTCCAGTGGAGGCTCCATGGCTTCTCCTTGACTCCGCCTCCTTTTCCCCAGCATTCAGTTTAGTTTTCCCCACCTAACTTTACTCTACCCTATCACAGGCCTAAGACAGTTTCTTTATTAACCAATGGCATTCATAGCATACAGAGGGGAATCCCGCATCAGAGGCTAGCCTTGGCTACACAAGACTCTGCCTCTCCAAAAGCAAAAGAAAAAAGTCCAACAGTAAAACTAAATCTCTGAATTTAAGCTTTCTGATTTTTCAAATGTATTTAGATTTTTATCTTTTTTTGCTATTTTGTGGGGTAGGGGTACCCAAGGCATAGTCATACGTGGGGGTCAGAGGATAACATTGTGGAGTAGGTTCCCTTCTGCTACCTTTACATGAGTTTTGGGAATTGAATTCAAGTCACCAGATCAGGCTAGCAAAGCAGGCACCTTTACCTGCTAAGCCACTCTATGGTTTAACTTTCCTAACTCAATAAAGAAGAAAAGTCAAAGATGGGTGGTGGTGGCGCACTCCTTTAGTAAGTACCTGTTCTAGGTGCAGAGGCAGGTGGATCTCTGTGAGTTCAAGGCCAGCCTAATCTACAGAGTGATTGTGGACAGCCAGGGATATACAAAGAAACCCTGTCTTGAAAACAAGACAAAGCAAAACAAAGGAATAAATGCAAAGGAGAGAGAAAGATTCTTCAGGAGCGAGGAATTGGTAAGCGGCACGTGTTCCTGCAAGTATGTAATCCTAAACTCATAGCATCATACACACATGCACACATCTCACATCATACACACACCACACATGCACTTCACACACACATATCGCACACATACACACACATCAGAAAAGGCAGGGACTCAGAGGGAAGGTACATGAGAAGGCATGAGTGCCGAGTATGATCAGACACACATATGAAAATGAAACCTATCATTACATACAATTAACAGATGCCAGCAGAAGCTTTCGAAAAAGAATAAAGGTCAATTAAAACTGTACAGTAATAAGGGAAAATGCTTTGAGGTTTTCAGGGTTGTTCCTTTCCAGTGACTGCAGAGAGGCTTCCGAGGGAGAGGTGGAAGCGACGAGCTTTGTCTAGCTGTTCCAGGACAGGAGGACAGGCATTCTTTCCGATGGACAAGTTCAGTCATTGTCTTGAGGTCCAGTATGCTTGGCATCAGTGACACCTTTGCCCCCCAATTCGTCGTCACCCACAGTCCTTGAGGACTTTTACTCACATTCTTGTTTATTTCTTCATGAGACAGTCTCTGGTAGCCCAGGTTTGCCTCAAACTCATCATAAAGCAAAGAGTGGCCTTGAACTCAATCCTCCGGCCTCCACTAAGTCCTAGGACTAAAGACGTATGCCACCACACCTGGCTCCCCAGTTTGGTTCCATATATCTAAAGAAAACTCAAATGCACTAACCCAGAGGACCTGGGTTCGATTCCCAGCACCCACATGGCAACTCTCCACTGTCTCTTACTGCAGCGCCAGAGGATCCAATGACCTCTTCTGGCCTTCCTGGACAACAGGCAAGCACATAGTGGACAGATACACATGCAAGCAAAACACTCACACACATAAAAACAATTTTAAAAGAAATACTTTGTATATCAAACAAAACTCAGGGGTTGATGGTGTACACTAGCAATGCCAGGTGTCAATGGGTAAAGGCCCGAGGACCAGGAATTCAAGGCCAGTTTCAATGTACATCAAGTTCTAGGTCAGCATGAATAACATGAGACCTTGTTTTAATTCAAACAAAACAAAGCAAACTCAGGGCTGGCAAATGGCCCCAGCTACCAAACCTGGGACTCACATGGCGGAAGGAAAGAACTGACAGAATCTTGGGCAAGTGTGGTTGCACACGTCTTTAATCAGAGCACTCCGGAGACAGAGACAGGAAAATCTCCGAGAGTTCAAGTCCAGCCTGGTCTACATAGTGAGTTCCAGGACAGCCAGGACTCTTTAGAGAGACCTTGTCTCAAAAAGAGAGAGGAGGAGGGGGCAACAGAAACAAACCCCTAAAACACCTAACGGCTTTGCTCCTCCGTGGAGACATCTATCAAACGTGCTGTAGAAACTGGAATCTTTATTCTAGTTCAGTCTGTCTACAGGTGGAGCTAGGGTTTTACTGTGTCTTTTTTCAAACACAGAGCTACTGCTGTAAACCAAAACTATGAAACAGAAATAAGCTAATATTTTAAAGAGAAGTGTTTACCGAAAATGTTCAAAAGGTCGCACAAGAAATTCGTCCTTTAATTAGCAAATCTCTGATAAACAGATGAAGCAACGGTTTAGGCACTAAGCACGTTTCCCTCCCGGTAAAAAGCGCCAGGGCTAGAACGCGGCCGCGTGGGGGTGTCCGGCGGGAGCGCCACGCCCCTGGCTGCAGCCCGGCGGCTTCGGTTGCTCGCGGTACGGGGCGTGGCCTTGGGCAGGAGGGGCGGGGCGGACGCAGAAGTGGGTGTGTCCGGGGCGGGGGCGCGCAGGTCCGAGAAGGTGCGACCGTCCTGGGCCGGGGCGCCCGGGCGCCGGGGGAGAGGTCAGGCTGGCGGGGCGCCGGCGTGCGACGGCGGGACATGGCGGCGGGCGGCAGGCTGGAGGACGTGAGTGAGGCGCCGAGCCCTGTCCCCGCCATCCCCGCTTCCTGTGCCGGGCTCAGGGGGCGGAGACTGCGGGCTGGGAGCTACCCTGAGCCGCCGCGGCCTGGACCGGAGGGGACGCTGGGGGACGGGGTGACCTCCGGGCGGGGACCGCAGCCCGGACGCCTTTCCGGGTGGAAGTCGGAGGGACGGCGGCGGGGTGGGCGCGAGGGTCTCTTCAGTCGGCGGCTCACGTGCGGCGCGCGTCGCCGGTTCCGGAACTGGGAGCTTCACGTGACGCGCGCTAGCCTGACAGGCCTTCCTGAGAGGGAGTGACAGGCCGGGCGCGGCTCGCCAGCCCACCCCCACCCCCACCCCCTCCACCCCCCGGTGAGCCCGACTCCCGAGGGCCCTCGATGGTGGTGACTGGAGCATCCCTCGGGGACGACCTGTAGCTCACATCTCCCCGAAACCCAGATTGGAGAACAACAGTATCACGTGCTGTTTTGAATGTAGGCATGGTAGAAACAGAAAGATGTTTTAATCTTAGATGCAAATTTGACTTTTTTTTTTTAAGTATCCGGTGGCCCAGTTCATGGTGTATCCAGTGTAGAACAATTGCAAAAATCTTGTTTGAAAGTTTATTAAGACAGTGTGATTAAACGTTTATTTGAAACTGGGATGGGAGGGGGGACACTTAGAGAGGAAACACGCGCTTGAAAATTCCAGCCCTTGAGAAACACAAGGCTGATGTGTTAGCACACTGCCCTGAGGTAATAACTAATAACATTACCGTAGTCTTAGTGCCAAATTACATTTAGAAAAGCAAGGTTCTAAAACTATCTATCAGAGTTTAGATTCTTGTGTACTGGTTCCTGCAGTCATTTGTTTTAGACTTGCTATGTAGCCCTAGCTGGCCTGATCTATTATGTAGCCTAGCCTGGCCTCAATTTTGCCGAACTGTTCCCTGACTTGACTTCTTCAGTGCTGGGATAACGGGTGTACCTATCACACCTAACTAAATTTTCTTGATGAAATAAATAAATATGTGTTTAACATTAAGACTAAAAAATAAATCTAGTTTTAGTTCTTTTAAGTGAGAAAATGGAAAACTGATTAATACGTGAAAACTTCAGAGTCATGTATATTTAAAGCAAAGCCCATTGTTTTTGAAATTTTAAGAGTTAGATTTCAGGGACTGGCCATTATGGAAGAAATAAATATGTAAGAGGAAAATAAATGGTTTAGAAAACCTTAAGCAGCGTTTCTTAGTTGGTGCTACACTACCCTGGAGTTCTTGGATAGGTTAGTTTCGGGAGTACAGTCCTAGATATTTCAACAAGCAATTGGTGATGATTATTTCACCAACAGTTAAACAGCTGAATTACCGTGGACCTGAGTAGGTTGCCTGCTTTTGGTATTTTGTAGATTTAAAAAAAATGTACATTTAGTAAGCTGAATACATGGACTATGTTGCAAGCCCAGGGACTTAAGTGCGTTGGTGAATGAATGGCTCATGTATTAAAGGAAGGACTTGGTGCTGGTTTGGATTAACACCCAGGCCTCTACAAGTACCCAAATGAGGGCAGCTCAGAGTGTCTGAAGTGATAGGAGTCATTTTCGAGTCTACACGGGGGTGACTACAGCTGTCACCTTACCTAGTGTCCGTCTTTCCTTTGCCCTTCATGTGGAAAGCAGACTGGACAAAGCATCTTTTGTTCTCTGACTATTCTCAGACCAAGAGAGGGAGAGGAAGAATATTTTAAAGATATTGCCACAGAGTTTTTGGTTTATTATGGTTCACACTACGTAACTCAGGCTCACAGTGATCCTTCTGCTGAGGCTTCCCATATGCTGGGATTACAAACAAGCATGGCCACGATACTTGGGTCCCAGTAAGGCTTAATGCAACATCGTCATTGGGTCCCCAAAGGAAGCAGTTACTGAAAAAAACAAAAGTCAAAAATAGTATCTGAGCCAAAACATAGGTGAATTCTTTGGTAGTAATTCACTCTTGTGTAAGTAGTGGAAATGGATTGGGCCTACTTGTTAAGAGTTCTCACTTGCCTAGCTTGCTCATAGCCCTGAACTCAGTCCTTAGCACCACCACAGAAGCCAGGCATGGCCACACACATCTGTAAGCCCAGCTCTAAGGAGATAGGGGCAGGAGAGTCATAAGTTCAAGGCCAGCCTTGGCCTTAGAGAGTTGTAGGCCAAGATTGAGGAGATGAAGGAATAATTTGGGGTAATGAGGAGGTAGCTCAGTGTCAGAGCATTTGCTTCGCATGCAGGAGGTCCTAGGTTTGGAAAAAAATTTTTAAAAGCAGACTTGTAAGAAGACAGAAAAATGGGACTAATGATAGTAGATTGAAAGTGATTCAGAAACAACACAGAAATAACTAGAAATGGCAAGGAGAAAATCAGACTTTTCTACATGTACAAAAGCTTGAAGTTGACCCAGCTTCACTTATCAGATGATGAGCTGGGTGGGACTGAGTCAGGGAGACTGTGATTGTTTGTTGTGACAGGTGTGTGTGGGGGGGCACACAACTGGAACAGAGATGGCAGGCAGGATCCCTGGGCCTGAGGAAGAGGAGTGCTGACAGATAAGGCCAGGAGAGTAGAGCCCTGCTCTTCCGTAGCTCAGCTAGCTGGATGAATTTGTGCTCTGTCCTGAGGGTAATAGGGAGACACAGGTTTTGGGAGGATAAACTCTGAAAATTCCTGAGGCCAGGATACAGAAAGGTGCTTAAGAGAAATGCTAAGAGCCTGGGTTAAGACACAGTAGGATGGATGTTAGAAATACCAGGCAGGCGATCTATAAAGAACAGAAGAATAACATGAGTTAGTAGAAGGCTGAAATTTATCTCAAAGACAGAGCCCTGGTCTAATGTGGAAGGCTTAGTTCCATCCTCAGTGCCACAAAATAACTAGTTGGTTAAATAATAATCAAATCCCAGAGCCTAGGAGGTGAAGAACTCAAACTCAAGACTAGCCTTCAACACTTTTTGAGATCCTGTCTTGAGTCCCAAAAATGTGAGCCTATTTCCACCTTGTCCAAAGGTCAGAGAGTTTGAAGTTGCTCAATTGTTAACAATCAGGGCTACACTTTCTGAATCAGGATGTGGTTACTTGGTTCTTTTGACATGAAGATGGTCATAAGGGGAGATCCATTTCATCCCGACAGGTGGTCAGGATGTGCAAGCTTACTTCTGCTCCTTTTGTAATATGAGGTTTCCTGGGGAGTGACTGCATTCAGGATACTTGGTCTAGAGAGGCTTCACTATCTAAACAACAGAATGCTAATTATTTGATGTCTCAAAATGTTAAAGCAATTAACTGTTCTTGTCCTTTGTACCATGTTAAAACAGTCTTTTGTTGCTTTCTTCCCCTTTTGTATTAGGGTATAAAAGCATATGGAAAATTAAACGCAGACAGTTTCAGTATTCACTGGAATGCCCTCCTGGTACTATTCTATGTTTTTCTGTTTGATTATTTTTAAATGTCTTTACTAATATTTCTGATCCCCACATCCCTACCCTGGCAAGAGGTGTTTTCATCTAGGCTGGTCCCTGACCGTGTCTCCAAAAAGGGGGGAAAAAGTTGATAGAGGCCAGACACAGTGGTACCTGTCTTTAGTCCTAGAATTTGGGAGGCAGAAGGAGGTGGGTCTATGAGAGCTTAAATCAAGTCTGGCTACCTAGCGAGTTTCAGACAAACAGGGTTACCTTGTTGTTTTTTTTTTTTTTTTAATATAATGACTCTGGGTGGTGGTGGCACATAGCTGTAATCCCACCACTCCTGTAGCAGAGGCAGGCAGATCTCTGAGTTTGAGGTCAGCCTGGTCTACAGAGTGAGTTCTGGTACAGCCAGGGCTTCAAAGAGAAATTAAAAGAGGGTTTCAAAGAACCAAAGCTAAAACAAAATAAAGGCTCACTTATTGACTGCTCAGTCAGTGCCTGTTCTTAATGCTGTACTAAGTGGTTTTTGTGTAGTAACCTATTTAATTTTCCTACTCAAGATTGGGCACAGGTGCTATTATTAGTGGCTTTTTTAAAGAGGAGGAAACTGAGGCTGGAGAGGTTGCTTGTTGGTTAAAAATGCTTGTAGTTTTGCAGAGGCACCAGGTTCAATTCCCAACACCCACATCCCCTGCATCACCATGTTTTGTAACTCCAGCTCTAGGGATTCTGTCGCCTTCTGCTGGCCTCATTTGACACTAGCATGTATGTGGTATGCATGCAAACCTACACATAAAATGAAAAGTAAATCTCAAGAGGAAAGCAAAAACCAAAGATGAGGAAACTGAGAAATAGAGATGTGATGCAACTTACCCACAGCCGGTACGCAATAGGACTTGAATTTTATCTGTTTAACTTGCTTTTTTCCTTTTTTTTTTTTAATTGAGGAAAGAAGAAAAAAAAAACATACACAAAAAACAAGTTTCCACCTCCTCCCAGCCTCCCATTTCCCTCCCCCTCCTCCCACCCTTCTTCCCCTCCCCCCACTCCTCTCCCCCTCCCTCTCCAGTCCACAGAGCAGTCCGGGTTCCCTGCCCTGTGGTAAGTCCTAGGTCCTCCCCGCTCCGTCCATATCTAGGAAGGTGAACATCCAAACTGGCTAGGCTCCCACAAAGCCAGCACATTAACTAGGATCAAAACCCCGTGCCTTTGTCCTTGGTGTCTCATCAGCCCTCATTGTTCGCCATGTTATCCAGAGCCACAGCTCTTAACCCCTCTAGTCTGGGTTGGCCTTGCCTCCCTGCGTTCTTATTGCTTTTCCCGATGAACAATTGATGCCTGTGAGTGAGTTGTGAAAACCCACAAAGACAGATGTGGAACACATATTGATTCATGCACTAGTGTTTGCTGAGTATGCTCCTAAGACAGACAAGCAAGAGGTGGGGAACTGGTAAATCCCATATAATCTACCAGGAAAGGTAGATAAATAGGAAGGCCTTGGAAGAAATAACAATGGAGGAGCAAAGATTGGTCATTATTGGATAGTATGACAGGGAAGCTACGCATGATGCTTTGGACACCGAGACATGACATGCTCCAGATCTCAGGTGTCCAGGGAGGCTCCCTGGGTGGAATTTCCCCATCAGAACCTATAGGCGTGCTCAGAGGTGAGGGGCAAGTTGCCAAGGTTCCACGTCCTTCAGCTAGAGAACATGCTCGAGAAGGGTACTGAGAACAGAAACAACCAGCATTGTAAGCCAGCCTGGTGATACGTGCTTGCTGTCCCATTACTCAGAGGCAAAGACAACAGGCTCGCCACAAGTTGAGTTGAAGTCAGCAAGTTCCTGGCCAACCAGATAGAGAGACCTCCCTCTCAAGACACAGAATCATCAGAACTATACCACAGATTGTGGCAAATAAAGTGCGAGCTTCCAAGTAATGTCAGTTGTATGGTACAAAGGGTACCAAAGTGAGCCACACCCCAAATCTGGTTTATACTTTAGAGTTCCACATTATATTTAGTACAGCTTATTGAACCCAGGACCTCACACATGCTAGGCAAGAGATCTACTGTTGAACTGTTTTCATCCCTCATATTCCTTTACTCTGTAAAATGAAGTGTGTTTGTGTGTGTTAATTTATTGTATCTGTATGAGTATTTGGACTGTATGCTTGTATGTGTACCATGTACATACCTGAAGAAGTCAGAGGAAAGTACCAGGTCCCCTGGAACTCAGGATCAGGAGTTACACTTGGTTGTGACCCACCATATGGGTGCTGGGAACCAAACTCAGGTCCTCTAGAAAAGCAACACGTGCTCTTAACTGCTGAGCTATGGCCCCACCCTTCCTTATTCTTATTGAGACAGGATCTCAGTAACTTGCCAGCCTTGAGCTCATTTTGTAGTTCAGGCTAGCCTTCGATGGCCTCCGCTCCCAAGTGCTGAGATAATAGGCAGGTGCCACTGTTCCATACATCGCAGGGTCTCCTAAGGGTCTTAGACTGAGATGTGCCTCGTTTGTGTGCAGAAGAAAACGGGAAGTGATGTGATTGTAGAAACATCACCTTTAAACATGACTGACACTTTTAGGTTACCACCCAGGACTCAGCTTCTATGCGCTGCTTCAGTGACTGACAGCTAGACGTTTTTGTGGAGACTGATTCCTACAACTGATGTCTCCTTAGGTTCCACTGGCTGATGATTCTGCTGCTACTTAGAATATTTCTGTTAAAATCAAAAGCTTGTTTTAGTCACTTTTGGGGGAAATGGGGTGGTGCTGGGGACAGACCCCAGTGTCTCACACAGGCTAGGTGAACGCTGACCACTGAGCTCCCCCTCTCCTGCCAGGCTCTCTATAAGGTATTCTTCATAAGGCTGATTTCCAAAGTACTGTGGGATAGCAGGCAATTTAATAATTGCATCTGTGGCCTAGCGTGGTGGTGTGTGCCTATATTTCCAGTGGGTAGAGGCAGGAGGATCAGGAGTTCATATCTAGCTTCAGCCACATAGTGAGTTTGAGGCCAGCCTAGGCTATACATGTATGCCATGTATGACTTGATCACATCTACCCCTCATCCTCCGTGTGATTTCACTCTTCCCCCTGCATGGTTGTTCCCTTACCACCTTCATGTCCTCCTCCTCCTCTCATTTTTTTTTAATATAATCCACTGAGCTTTAATCTGCTGCCTGCCTGAACATGGGTGTGATGCCATCTACTTGAGCATGGTCAGTCTGGCAGCAGCCAAACTCCTGAACAAAATTACTTCCTCCCTCAGCAGCCACCAATTGCTCCTTGGCTCCGGCGAGGCTTCCTAACTGTACATTTTGAAGGTTTAATGAAATTGGTTGAAACTGGACATGGTGGCATATACCTGTAACCTCGGTACTTGAAGTGTTTGGAGACAAGAGGATTGCCTTAGCACAGGAGTTTAGACCAGCTTGAGCAAAATAGGGAGGAAACCTTATTGCAGCTAAAACAAAAAAAGTGGGTTGCTTAAATTACAGCATGCATTACTTTGCTCTGGAGTTATAGAGATAATGGAATAGTTGAGCATGGTGCTGTACATTTTTAATTCTGGATTCCAGAGGCAGAGGCACATGGATCTCTGAGTTTCAGGCTAGCCTAGTCTACATAGTGAGTTCTAGGACATAGAGGGCTATGTAGAGAGACCCTAGCTCAAAAAAAAAAAAAAGGAAAGAAAAAGAGAAAAAAATGAAACAAACTACTTCTATGGGGCTAAGTGTGGTGACACACCTTTAAATCCCAGCACTTGGGATGTAGAAATAGGTGGATTTCTTTGAATTAGAGGCCGTCTTGTCTACAGAGCAAGTTCATTCTAGCCAGGACTAAAAATAAAACTAAATAGGGAAACCCTGTCTTTAAGGGGGAAAAAAAGTTCTTCCATTACTTGGAAAGCATGAGTAGGAAGCCAATCTGGCCTACATAGTGAGTTCAGAGTTCAGCATGGGGTATAGTAAGTAGAAGGCCCTGTCTCAAGCCAGGCTTGGTTGTACACAACTTTAGTGCCAACACTCAGGAGCCAGACACACCTCTGTGAAAGATTCTGTTTTAATAAAAGTTTTACCAGCTGGACAGTGGTGGCACACACCTTTAATTCCAGGCAGAGGCACGAGATCTATGTGAGTTCAATATCAGTCTGGTGTACAGAGTGAGTTCTAGGACTACCAGGGCTACACAGAGAAACTCTGTCTCCAAAAACAACAAACAAAAGTAAACAAGACAAAATTTTGACAAGTCATAGGAAATTAACCTAAAGGGAGGTAATTTTTCAAAGTTGAGTTTAGGTGGGATCTGTTCTGCCTCTGATGTGTGCAGTGTTTTTTTTTTTTTTTTTTTTTTGTGTGTGTGGTGCTAAGGCATAGGTTCTGTGTGTTGTGGAAGATCTCTACCACTAGTTACTCCCCAGACTCCAGGGGTTTGTTGTTTTGTTTTTGCGGTGCTGGGAACCAAACCTATGGTGTTACATATGCAAGGTGAGCACTCAACTTCTGCACTATAGCCCCAGCTGATTTTGTTGTGCTCAGTATCCTAGGTTGCTATGAGCTTAACATTCTAGATTACTGTTTTAGCCCAAATACTGAGATCACAGTTGTGTGCCACAAATAACACAAAAATCATCAAGGGTTAAAAAGTTCCTGGTGTGACGGCTCCTGCCTGGAACCCAGCATTCAGGAGGCTAGGACAGGGGGACTGCCTTAAGTTGAAGGCTACCGCGTGCTACACAAAGTTTCTATGGCAGCCTTTACAGTAGAAGATCTCAAATAACCTAAAATGTTCATTGAAAATAAGCTGTATCAGTTGTGTCTTAGAAACATTATCCAGAACCAGTCATGGTGTTTCATACCGTTAATCCCAGCACTCAGGAGGCAGAGGTTCGAGGCCAGCATGATCTACTGGGTGAGTTCTAGGATAGCTAAGGCTAAACAGAAAAACTCTTTATTGTAAAAACAAAAGAAAGGAAAGAGAAAAAGAAACATGGCTCAGAAAGTCTTGGCTATAAAGTGTATGTTTTGCCATACAGGGGTCCTTGGATGTCCTTCAAAGTCTGGATGATGACCCCCTTCTGGACACCCAGCCTCTCGCACACCACTCCTTACGTGCTCACTTTAGACCCAGATTCCATCCTCTTCCCACGGTCATCATCGCGAATCTTCTGTTGTTTATACATGTGAGTTCACTGCAGAGCTAGTGTTCCTAAAACACAGGAGCGTGCAGGGGGAGAGATGGTCCAGTCATAAGATGCTTGAGGACCCGGGCACATCTCCAAAAGCTATGTGAAAACCAGGGGGTGGAGGAGCACACACCCAACAATGGGGAGGTGGAGACAGGAGGAACCCTGAGACTCTGTGGCCAGCCTAATCTGCTAGGAGGTGAACCCAGACCATCCTGAGAGACTCCATCTCCAGATCAAAACAACAAGGTAGACGTAGATGTCTCCCAAAGAACAGCACGTGCATTGTTCTCTGACCCCAGGTGCATGCACATGTGTGCACACATACAGTGTATGAGCCCTGTGGGGGCTGCATCTATCAGATTTTAAAATGTAAATGCTTTCATACAGACGCAAAGAGTTTACTGTAGAGATGTTTGCACATGTGCAAGGACATTCTTAGTGGCACTGGGATTGTCACACAAGAAATCACGAGGTCCCTGGTGTTCCTAGGGCCACTGCTTCTCCTCCTGCATTCCAGGCTAGCTGGTCCTTGAGCAGAAACATTGACTGCCTATAACAGGGTAGAAGGAGAGAAATTGTCCTCTGGTGTCTACTTTCCCGCTTGAGCACAGTGCTCACACACTAGCACAGTAAATCCATGAGTAAAGCCAGGCTTGGTGGCACACGCCTATAATTTCAAGCTCGTGGAAGGCAGAGGTGGCAATCTCTGAGTTCAAGGCCAGCCTGAGCTACAAATCAAGTTCAGGCAGATCAGAGCTATATAGTGAGATCCTGTCTCAAAAAAAACAAACCTGTCTGTAATGTTGATAATTAGCCGGCAGAGGCAGTAAGATCTAAGTTAGAAGTCAATCTGGCCTTCGTAGGAAGGCCATAGTATTTGCTAATTTCATATACTAACCCATTCATTAGCGTGTGTGCAGATCCATATTAATGTTAATTAATTGAATCTATATTTAATACTCTGTCCCTCCCTTTCTAAGTTCCCTGTTCATCAGGCTACACTAGAGGTAGACTCTGCCCCAGAGACCGGCTCCAGGAGACTGGTGAGGTTCAGGAGAGCACATCCAGCCAGCTCTGCATTCACTGACTGCTCTCCCTGTCTCCTGAGAACCCTGCTCCACAGCTTCTTCACCTTGCAGGGTCGTGGCCTCAGTCCAGCTCAGCAGAGCCCAGTGTCTGGGCCAGTTGGTGATAATGTCTTCAAGGACTTGGACATGCACATGGAATTCTTTCTTTCCCTTAAATCAAGGTCTCAGTTTGTAGAGCTCTGAGACCTACCTGCTTCTGCACATACTTTCATTAGTTCTTATTTAATCCTGTGGTGGGGGAGGAGAATTGCAGATGTCCTTGGAGGCTAGAAGAGAGGTTCTGACCCCTGGGGCTTAGGTCAGAATCCTCAGTGGGTGCGGGGGACTGAACCCTTCCTGTCCTCTGCCAGAGCATTTTGCACTCTTAATGCTGAGCCAGCTCTCTAGTCCTCAACTGCTTTTGAGGTAACTGGCACTTTCAAATCTGACATTTGATCTCCCTATATCGCCCAGGCTGACATCGAGTTTTCCATCCTCCTTAGTTCTAGGGTGGCAGGCATGTGTCTCTGTGCCCAGCTTCCCCAGTTTTTCAGAACACTTTCAGTAAAATATTTTTTCTTTTTCTTTTTGGTTTTTAAAGGCAGGGTTAATGTGAATCTCTGGCTATTCTGGAACTCACTTTGTGGGCCGGCCTAGCGTCGAACTCACAGATATCCACCTGCCTCTGCCTCCCTGAGTGCTGAGATTAGAGGCGTGCAATCACCGAGTGTAATAAGTTTTCTAATCATTTACAGGGTAGGGTAGCATAAGTCTAGGACATGGCACGTGCTGTTTTCTAACACAGGCATTTATGCTAATTTCTTTATTACATTGATAAATTACGTGGTGTGCATGCAGGGATGTGTGCCACAGCACACAGAGAAGTCAGGACAACACGCAGGGCTCAGTTCTCTCCTTCCACCATGGAGATCCTGGGAGTCAAACTCAGGTTGTCAGTCTTGGTGACAAGTGCCTTTACCCCCTGAGTCCTCTCACTGGCCCTGATGGCAACCTACGTATTTAACATGAATCCTACTGCTTTTCCTTCCACAGGTTGTCTTTGTCATTTTAGCATTTTTAACAGGGGTGCTGTGTTCATTCCCTGATCCCAATGAAGACAAGTGCCCAGAAAATTACACCAACCCACTAAAAGTTCAGACAGTCATAATCCTTGGAAAAGTCATCTTGTGGATTCTGCATTTGCTTCTTGAACGCTACATCCAGTATCACCACAGCAAAGTCAGAAGTCGTGGCTATTCCCAGATCTACAGGTCTACGAGGCATCTCAAAAACCTGGCCCTCGTGATCCACTCTTCTGGTAAGCCCTGCATCTCACAGCTCCTCTTCGGCCTGAGTGCCAAAGGCGATTAAAAAAAATGTGAAATTAGATTTTATAATCAAACATATTCTCTCTCTTTAAATTTACTCATTTATTAAGCATGCATTGGTGTGAAGGTGTCAGATTCCCTGGACCTGTACTTCCAGAATTTTGAGTTGACTTGTGCATGCTGGGAATTGAACCCGGTCCTCTGGAAGAATAGCCAGTGCTATTAGCTGCTGAACTACCTCTCCAGTCCCCAAATGTATTCTCTTTTTGAGAGTGATCTATATTGTAGCTCCTATTCTGAATTTTTCTTTTGGTGGGAAGCATGATTGAAACCAAAACTTTGGGTATGCTCGGCAAGCTTCTACCACTGAGCTATGGCTCACCTACCTTTTGAAACTTTTTACAGTCTTTGTGGTCTTGAGATAGGATCTCACTTTGTCTTGTGTGGGATTTTTCAGCTTCTTTATATAGGCATTTGGTGCTATGAGCTTTCCTCTTAACACTGCTTTCATTGTGTCCCATAAATTTGGGTATGTTGTGTGTTCATTTTCATTGATTTTTTTTTTTAGGAAGTCTTTAATTTCTCCCTTTATTTCTTTTTTGACCCATTGATGATTCAGGTGAGCATTGTTTAATTTCCATGTGTTTGTGGGCTTTCTGGAATTAGTATTGCTGTTGAATTCTAGTTTTAAGCCATGGTGATCTGATAAGATACTCGGGGCTATTCCAATTTTTTTGTATTTGTTGATGTTTGTTTTGTTACCGTGTATGTGGTTAATTTTTGAGAAGAATCCATGAGGTTCTGAGAAGAAGGTATATTCTTTTATGTTTGGATGGAATATTCTATAGATGTCTATTAAGTCCATTTGAGTCATAACATCTGTTAGTTCCTTTATTTCTCTGTTAATCTTTTGTCTGACTGACGTGTCCAGTGGTGAGAGAGGAGTGTTGAAATCTCCCACTATTAGTGTGTGGAGTTTAATGGATGATTTAAGTTTTAGAAGTGTTTCTTTTACATATGAGGGTGCCCTTGTATTTGGAGCATAGATGTTCAGCGTTGAGATTTCCTCTGGATGGATTTTTCCTGTTACTAATATGAAATGTCCTTCTTTGTCTCTTTTGATTGATTTTAGTTTGAAGTCTATTTTGTTAGATATTAGGATAGCTACACCTGCTTGTTTCTTAGGTCCATTTGACTGGAATATTTTTTTTCCAACACTTTACTCTGAGGCAAGGTCTGTCTTTGAGGTTGAGGTGTGTTTCTTGTATGCAGAAGGATGGATTCTGTTTTTGTAGCCAATTGGCTAGACTGTGCCTTTTTATAGGTGAGTTGAGTCCATTTATATTAAGGGATATTAATGACTAGTGATTGCTATCTCCTGTTAATTTAGTTTTCGTTGTTGCTGATGTTAATTTGTGAGTTTTTTCCTTTTTGGGGATTTGCTGCTATGAGACCCTCAATTGTCTGTACTTTTAGATATAGCCAACTTCCTTGGGTTGGAGGCTTTTTCCTAGTATTTTGTGTAGGGCTGGGTTAGTGGCTAGGTATTGGTGAAATCTGGTTTTCTCATGGAATATCTTGTCCTTCTATGGTGATTGAAAGTTTTGCTGGATATAGTAGTCTGGGCTGGCATCCATGGTCTCTTCATGTCTACATAACGCTTGACCTTGACCTTCTGGCTTTCATTGTCTCCATTGAAAAGTCAGGTGTAATTCTGATAAGTCTGCCTTTATATGTTACTTGGCCTTTTTCCTTTGAAGCTCTTAATATTTTTTTTATTCTGTATGTTTAGTGTTTTGATTATTATGTGCCAGGGGGACTATTTTTCTTTTTCTTTTCTTTTATTTAGTCTGTTTGGTGTTCTGTAAGCTTCTTGTATCTTCATAGGTATATCTTTCTTTAGATTGGCAAAGTTTTCTATGATTTTGTTAAATTGAGTTGAACTTCTTCTTTTATACCTATTATTCTTAGGCTTGGTCTTTTCATGGTGTCCCATATTTCCTGAATATTTTGGGTTAAGTTTTCATTAGATTTAATGTTTTCTTTGACTGATGAGCCTGTTTCCTCTATTGTATCTTCAGCGCTTGAGATTCTTTCTTCCATCTCTTGTATTCTGCTGTTCATGCTTGCATTTTTGGTTCCTGATCATTTTCTCATGATTTCTGTTTCTATTCCTTCAGCTTGTGTTTTCTTTATTGTCTCTATTTCAGTTTTCAAGTCTTGAAAGTTTCTCTTTCATATGTTTGATTGCTTTTTCTTTGTTTTCTTTAAGAGATTTGCTGATTTCTTTCAATTTTTTGTTTGGTTTTTCCTCCATTTCTTTGAGGCAATTTCTCATTTCCTCTTTAAGAGTTTCAAACATTCTCTTGAAGTTATTTTTGAGGCCATTTTCTTCTGCTTCATTTATATTTGGTTGTTCATGTCTTGGTGTTGTAGAGTCTTTACGTTTTACTGGTATCATATTGCTCTTTGTGGTGTTGCATGTGTTCTTACCTTATCTACTCATGTTTTCCTGTAATTGGTGTGCTTGGGGCTGTTTGTGATTCTGGTTATTAATCTTCTGGGTGTCAGTAACTCTAAGGCTCAGATGGTTGTTCCTCATGGTACAGTCAGTGCCACGGTTCTAGTTACCTCATTGGTCACTCCTTGTTTCTGCAGGTTGCTCAGTGCTCCTGGACTTTGCTGTGCTTTTGTGGAGTTTGCTGTCTCAGGCCTTCTCTTACCTAGGTTGTAACTCAGACCTGTTTCTGCCAATGTCACTGGTCTGGATCTGCCCCTGCTCCTGTGGAGCTCACTTTCTCAGGTCTGCTCTGGCTTATGTAGCTGGCTCAATCCTGCTTCCATGTAGCTTGCTGCCTTAGGTCTGTCCTGGCCTAGTCCTGCTTCTGCAAATGACCTTGGTCTGGATCTGTTCTGTTCTTGTGGAACTCACTGTCCCAGGCCAGCTCAGGACCAGGTCACTGGCTGTGTCCTCCTCTGAGGAGTTCACTGCCTCAGACACTGCCTCAGTCTTGCTCCTATACAGTTCACTGTCCCAGGTTCGCTCAGGCCCAGGTCACTGGCTTGGTCATACTCCTGTGGAATTCACTGCCTCAGGCTGTCTCTGGCTCAGTCCTACTCGTGTGGAATTTGTTGCTTCAGGCCATCTCTGGCCCAGGTCACCGGCTCATTCCAACCTCTTTGGAGTTTTGCTGTCTCACGCCTGCCTGTTCTAGGCTAGGTCACTGGCTTAGTACTATTCCTGTGGAATTTGTTGCCTGAGGCCTGCTCTGGCCTAGGTTACAGGATCAGACCTGTTTCTGTAAATATCCTTGGTCTGGATCCTTTCGGGAAGAGGTCCTCGGCTTGGGGTTTTTCCTGCAAGGGTCTCAGGCTCCGATCTACTCCCTCGGAGGTCCCAGCTTCGGGTGCACCCAGACCCACAGAGGACCTGGCTCTGGCCTGGTCCCGCAGAGGTCCCAGATTCACGCCCAGACGCGCAGAGTTTTCTGGTTCCTGCCTACTCCCTTTGACATCCCCAACCACAGCCCCGGACCCACAGAGGTCCTGGCTCAGGCCTACTCCCTCAGAGGTCCCAGACTCAGGCCTGGACCCACAGAGATCTCTGGTTCCTGCCTATTCTGTTGGAGGTCCTAGACTCAAGGCTTTGTCTACTTTTATATGGGACAAAAGTAAAGAATATTCTCAAGTAATTATCTCAAATAATTGTTTGAGAATCTGGGGATACTAGTTTTGAAATTCATGAAGAAATTATTTTGTCTCTACCTTCTTAAAATCTGACCTTAAGCTAGGTGTGATGCAGCCTGAACCCTCACGAGGCTGAGGCAGGAGAATGGTCAGTGAATTCAAGAGTAGCCTATACTATGTTGAGGCCCTAACTCAATAAATAATATTTTCTCACATGTGCAAAAGAAGTCAGTTTAATACTTTTATAAAACCAAGAAATAATTCCTTAGTTTTAAAGCAAGGTCAGATTGCAGCAAGTCTTCAACATGGAGACTTGATATCAATTATGAAAGCTTGCTTCGGCTTGCTTCTAACTAGCTTTTATAACTGAAAGTAACCCCTATCTTTTAATCTCTGTTCTGTTATGTGGCTCGGTTACCCTTACTTTGTAATGGCCGTGCTGCTTGCTCCACTTCCCGCACAATACCCCCTTCTTCACAGAGTCCTCTGTGCCTGGAAATCCTGTCTAGCTATTTGCTGTTCGGTTTTTTATTAAAACCATCCGAGTACAGAAGGATTATTCTACAACATCAGATTCTTTGTTTTGGGTTTTTTTTTTTTTTTTTTTTTCCCCTGTTCTTGCTTTTGATACTGGAACCAAACCCAAGGCTTCAAACTTACGCGGCAAATATATTCCAACTGAGGTAAATCTTTAACTCCTTGATTTTTGGAGATAAAGTCTCATGTAGTCCAGAATGGTCTCAGATTTGCTATGTAGGAGTCATCCTCCTGTCTCTACCTGTTGAACTCTGGGGTTACAGGCCTGATCCTTGCTTTTTTGTAGTTCTGAGGATTTGAGCCCAGGCTGTCATCCATATAGGGCAAGCATTCTACAGGCCAAGCTATCCAGCATCCAGATTGTTTTTAAGAATTTAAGTTTCCATCCTCTCAAACTTTCCCAAATGAGTTCAATAGGATAGAAAACCAGGACTGAATTGCTGGTTTGTCTGGTGGCTGGACCCATATTTAGGCTTTGTAGCTCCAACCCTTATTAGCATAAACACAGTTTTGACCTTCAGGGTGTGTTACAATAACAACACAGTTCTTTTCTTTAGAAAGTCACAAGGGCTTTAGAATATTGGATAAGTAAGTACATAAGTAAGCAAACAAATAAATAATAAGGGCTTTAGGAAATTGGATATGTAAGTACCTAAGTAAACAAATAAATAATTAAATAAATAAATTGTGGAGATCAAACCAAAAGGAATTTGCACTGACAGGACTCCAGCATCCCATCCCTGCTGTTTCCCTTCCTTCCTTAGGCAACACAGCCCTCCTGCTGCTCCTGTGCTTGCAGCATTCCTTCCCTGAGCCCAGTAGCCTGTACCTGGAGCTGATTCTGGCTGTCCTGGCCCTGGAGCTGATCTGCTCCCTGAGCTGTCTGCTGCTCTATGCAGGTGAGAGTGGAAGCCTCTGTCTTGTGACATCTGCCTGCCTCTCCTGTCACTGCAGACACAGCTGTCACTTTAGTGAGCAGCCTTCATTCGCTGAGGACTCCTTTAGCTCCTTTGTCTTTGACATCTGACCACTTCCGGTCTGCTGTCCTTCAGAGCAAGAGAAGAGACAACCACTCCCAATGAGTTCATTTTCTCCACTCCTGTCAGTCACAGATGTTGGGAACCTTGAGCTGCAGAGGTGGCTGAGGATTGAGAGTCCAGACTGCTCCTCATCGGGTCAGGTGCTCACAACTGCCAATAAAGCCACCCCAGGGGACCCGGTGCCTCTGTCTTCCAGAAAGCACAGGCACACAGCCTTACACACACAATTTAAAAAGCTTTGAATAGGAAAGTATTTTCAGTTTACTGAAGTAAAACTTTCGCAGAAAACAAAACAACAAACTTCTTTCCTGTAAGGTGGTGGTTCTCAGCCTTCCCAATGCTGTGACCTTTAATACAGTGCCTCAGGTTGTGCTGACCACTCAACATGAAATTACTTTTCTTACTACTTCATAAGTGTAATTTTGCTACTGTTATGAGTTGTAATGTAAATATCTGATATCCAGGATATCTGACATGTGGTCCCGTGAAAGGTCATGACCCACACTTTGAGAACTACTGCTATAGGGTAAACAATGTGACCATCAACTTGTAGCCAAGTCCCTGCCTCTGCCTTCCAAGCTCTGTGATTATAGCTGAGACAGCAAGTTAGGCCCTGCATGTATGTAAATTTGACATCTTAATGAAAAAGAATGACCAGGCCTAACGGCACACACATTCATTCCCAGTACTTGGAGGTAGATCCATCTCTTGAGTTTCAGAACTACATAGTGAGACCCTGTCTCAAGAAAAAAAAAAAAATGAGTGTTCACTTCATGATGTGGTTGTGAGATTGGAATGACGTCATCCATCTAGGACAGTCAAGCTTGTGCCCCACGTGTTGCAAATGTCAGCTATTGTTGTTGTTATCTTGTTACTAATGATAATCTCAATGTTCCCTGAGACTAGCCCTTGCTTAGTAGACTTTGATATGTGTAACTGTGTTGATAAACCATCGTATTCAAGCTTTTTTCTCATTATGCAATCTCACATATATTATCTATTCAGAAAGAGTAACCATGTAGTATTACTTGATAAATAAGCACAGAAAATTCTTCAGAACTATGTAATCTGATTTAAAATGATTTTCTTATTTCAGTGAAAATTAGCAGATTCAATAGAGCCAAACCACAGCCTGATGTCCTTGAAGAAGAAAGAATGTATGCTCACCCCAGCAATATAGCCTCAGAGACTGGCTTCAGGTAAGGCTTGAAGAGGAAGCACAAATCAGAAAGCAGGAACTTTCCCTTCAGTCACCTGATGGTTCGTGTCTGTGATTCTGTCTACTTGGGATGTCCTCAAGTGGGCATGGTGGATCCTTTGTCAGGACAATTTAGCAAAATCTTGACCCAAAATAATTTTTAGTAAGTTTTTATAAGGGCAGAGTATGTAGTCAGAGGCCCTTTGTATGAGTGTCCCAGTTCATCCCTAGTATCTCTCTCTCTCTCTCTCTCTCTCTCTCTCTCTCTCTCTCTCTGTGTGTGTGTGTGTGTGTGTGGAGGCCTAGGAGACTCAGGTGGGAGGACCCCAAGTTTGAGGCCAGGAGGCAGAATTTTATCTCAGAAAAAGAAGCATTTTCTTCCCATATAACATTACACACTACTGTAATATTTTTACAGTCATAGTAGTTTTTGGTTTGGAAACAGGATCTCACTTTGTAGTCCTGGCTGGCCTTGAACTCACAGAGCTCCCTTTCCTAGATCTACCATTCTTTAAGGAGCCTTCAGTCCGGAACCATCAGATTGTTTGCAATCTTTTTGTTATAAATAATATTCATTCAAGAACAAAGCCCATATAAAAGTCAACATCAGCAAATATTGTTCCCATGAAAATGGAACTTTGTATATGAACAATAACGGGTGACCTTAGCTTAGTTGTGAAAACTAATTGTAAGATGATCGTGTAGGTTCTGAATGTGGATTTAACATAAAACTGTAATATCAATCCACCGAATTGAGAGGATAAATATGTGGTATGAATATGGAATGGGGAAAATTAGGAACTAAACCCTGATTTTTGTCATTTGTTTTTCTGGGGCTTGGAATCCTATCTCACTACAGGTTTGGGACTGGACTCTTGCTTGTTGTATTGCATGTAGCCCAGGGTAGACTCAGACTCTTGACTCTCTTCCCTTAGCTTCCTTAGTACTGGAACTCACTATGTAGAGCAGGCTGGACTTCAACTCACAGAGATCCACCTACCTCTTGCTGTGTTCAGTGTAATCCAGGGTGTGAGTTCAAACACAGCTGGAGTCACTTACAAGAGATCCTGTAGATTGTATGTATGTATGTATCTGTGTATGTGTGTGTATGTATGTCTTAGAAGTTGTTAGCTATACCAGGCTGGCCATGAAGTCACAGAGATCTGCCTGCCTTGGCTTCCAGATTGCTGGGATTAAAGGTGTGCACCAAATGTTGACTTTACATGATTTTTTAAAAGTTCTTTCTTCTTTCCTTCCTTGCATCTTCCCTTTCTCTCTTCTCCTCTCTCTTCTTTCCTTCGTTTTTGGTTTTTGTAGACAGTGTTTCTCTGTGTAGCCCTAGCTCTCCTGGACAGCTGCATCAGAGCAGTGGATTAAAGACTGTACTACCCTCACCTGGCTCACTTAGTGACTTTAAATTGTAAAAACTTCTTTTGTTTGTGTTTGTTTTCAAGAGAGTATTTCTCTGTGTATCTCTGGCTGTCCTCAAACTCACTCTGTAGACCATTCTGACTTCAAACTCATAGAGATCCCTACCTGCCTCTGCTTCCCGAGTGCTGTGATTAAAAGCATCTGCCACAACCACCCAGAAAAATGATAAAACTTTAAACAATTTTACCAGGCCCAAAACTAGCCTACAAATAAATAAAAGTGAAGACAATATGTGCAAAACACATTGATTTCCAGAGCAGGAGTCACTAATTTTATTCCTGAAAGACTTGTCTTGCAATATCCCTGATGTATGAACCTGATGTATGAAAACTCTGGGCAGCTGTGCCTTACTGAGCACTGCTGAGGACTTAGTCAAAATGAAATAAAATTGTGTTGATGAATCCATGTAACCTGTTTCTATTCTTATTTCTGCAGGACTATTTCAAGCCTAGAAGAAATTGTTGAAAAGCAGGGAGACATAATCATATATCTGAAGAGACACAACGCCCTGCTCAGTAAGCGGTTGTTGGATCTGGCCTCTCAGCCAGCTAGGACCTGAGAGACTCCTGGGTATGACAGCTATCAAATCCTCAGTAACTCCAGACTGCCCCAAGTTACTTTCACGGTGTGTGATGGGAACATGAGCCCTGGGTGGTTACAAATATCTGGAAAACTTGAGAATATTTTGTATGGTTTGAAATAATTTAACTTCTTGACTCTTCTGGAATCTAAGCTGTAGTTTAAGAACTCTGGAATAATTTGGCTCCTTTTAAAGCAATTGTGCCACGACAGTCTGCTGTAAACAGTGTTTCAAACCAGTCTGTTCTTGCCACAGTCAGCTGCTGAGAGAAGACATCGTTCCTGGTGCTCCCTGTTTTCTTCTAGAGTCTCACGAGTGTTTTGTATGAGTGAGGGCAGATCAGGTGAGGGAAAGGTCAGATTTGTTGTTTGCTTCTTTGTTCTCCAGAGCTGGGGGCGAACCCAATGCCTCACACAGAATGAGCAAACACTCTGCCTCTGAGTCAGTTTTACCAGGATTTCCTTCTGCTGCTCATGGTGACTCACACCTGTAGTCCCAGTCCTGGAAAAGCTGAAAAGCTGAGGCAGGAGAATCACCACCAGCTTGAAGCCAGCTGATGCCTAGTACACTGAATACAACCTTTCTCAAAAGCACAGATCACTTTCCTCAGTATAGGACCGATCTCACCAGGAAATATGTGGTGCCCGTTCTGCTGTGTGTAGTTGAGAAATACAGTGTGAAAAATCCTGGGGCAGCGGGAGACCCAGTGGAGAGGGGGTGACACCTGCTATGTGGGGACACCTCGGACTGGCAAGAGGTGTAGGAAATCATCTGTCATTTATTGTATCGTTGTCCTTCTTCAGGGACTTGCCATAGATCCCTCTGCTACACTTTGATTTACAGCAACTTCAATTAGCTGAGCGTGGTGGCCCACAGCTGTCATCCCAGTACTTGGGAGGCAGACACAGGAAGTTCAAGACTATCCTGGTCCAAATAGTGAGTTTCAGGGCAGCCAAAGCTACAAAGAGACCCTTCTCCCCCTTGCTCTTCAAAAAGACAAATATATATGTCAGAATAAGGGTGTCTCTGAGTTAAAGTTTGACCACATAGTGGCAGTCAGATGGTTCAGTAGGAAAAGTGCTTGTTCGGTAAGGCTGATGGTGGAGGAGAAACCAACTCCTGAAATTTGTCTTCTGACCTTGAACCTCTCAACATGTTACTCGTGTGTGTGCACCGACGCATATCACACACATGTCACACAAATACACACAATACTACATTTTTTCATTGTCTAAATAGGAAAAAGACACTTTTTGGTCTTGCATTGTAGCTCCAAATTGTGATGGGTTGATGTATGTATAGATATTATCAAACAGATAATTCTTACAATGAAATGAATATTTTTTATGTGGCATTGTTTCTGCTTTTATCCTATAGCTCCTTTTAATCAATTGGTACCTTCATGTGTCACCTTAGGAAGTCTTTGGTTTTTGAGATAGGACCTCATGTGGCTATGGCTGCCTCGGATTCTCTTGCTTCCTCCTTCAGTTTCTGAGATCATGGATGTCAGGTGTCTATGCCTAACGTAGACTTTTCACTGAGGGCGTCTGAGTGAGATCTCTGTTCTGAAGCCTGCTGTGTTTAGCCTAATATTCAACACTTTATTTGCAGAGCCAAACATAATTATATAGGGATAAGATGGATACCACCTGACAAGCCAGGACTATTCATTTGATCCTATGAACTCTTGCTTGTGGGCAGTAAGTTCCTGTTTCCTTTAGATACAGCCATTGCTGGACAGTCTCAAAGTTTTCCTCCGCCAAGATAAAAACACACATGTCTTCTGCTGGTAACACGGTTGGGTCTCCAAAAAGTAATAACATTCACATATTGAACTTACACAATTTCCAGGGGCTAGAAGGATGGCTCATTTTGTAGGTGCGCATATGGAGCTTGCAGAAGATGGAGTTCAGTTCCCATAACCAGGTTGCCATTTCTTTGAATATGAATGAAATTGGTTCCTATCCCAATCTGTGACCTTTCATGATTCTTTTGTGACATGCATCCCAAATCCTTTGTTCATCTTTCTCCTGGGATATTCTTGTGTGACGTTTGGTTCTTGTTTCTTGAGGCAAAGTCTCAGATAGCCCAGGCTGGCCTCAAACCCTGTGTACCCAAGAATGACATGGAACTTCTGATCCTTGCACCTCTACCTGTAAGTGCTGGGTATATAGGCATCCCCTTCTTTAACCCCTTCATGGAACAGGAATTGAGCTCAGTGCTTCCTCCACGCATGCTCCCAACTGAGCTTCACCTCCAGCCTCTTATTCTTTTTTCTTTTATGGTAAATCTTTAACATGCTTATTTTTAATTTAATGTCTTTAATACAGTTAGTGTTTAATTTTGTGCCTCTGCACAGAATAAAATTTCTTAAAATATATATTCCTTATTTTATTAAATTTTAATCTAATAAACATTTTTCTTTTAAATAGGTTTTAATTTTACTATGTTTGCATGTATGTTTTACCTGCTTATATGCCTGTGCAGTGTGTATGCCTGGTGCCCATAGAGACCAGAAGAGAGCATCAGATCACTGAGAGCTGGAATTACAGGTTGGGAGCCATCATTGAGTGCTGGGGATGAATCCCAGGTCCTTTGGAGAAGCATCAAGGCTCTAACCACCTAGCCATCACTCTGGCCCCAGGACACTGATTTCTATCTCAACTCTACTGCTCCAAACATTTATGTTTTACCTTGGCAGTCAGAGACCTTTCTTTTTGTAAATTACTGTTTTTTTTTTTTTTTTTTTTGGTTTTTCGAGACAGGGTTTCTCTGTGGTTTTGGAGCCTGTCCTGGAACTAGCTCTTATAGACTAGGCTGGTCTCGAACTCACAAGAGATTTGCCTGCCTCTGCCTCCCAAGTGCTGGGATTAAAGGCGTGCGCCACCACCGCCTGACTAATTGTAAATTATTGTTATATGTTATGTGTATGGTGTTCTGCCTGCATGTGTGTCTATGTAGCGTGTGCATATCTGCTTCCTGAGATGGCCAGAGAGGGCATTTAATACACTGGAACTGGAGATACCGAGGGTTGGGTCATCATGGCGTTGCAAGGAATTGAACCAGGGTCCTTTAGAAAAGCAGCCAGTGCCCTTTAACCACCAAGTCAGCTGACAGCCCCAGAGATTTAAACCACACATTAGGTCATATTCTTGTACACAGGATTCCTTGTCAGAGAGGCCTGACAGAGAAGTGCCTTAGAAAATCGACTCCTCTTCCCTCTCCACAAGTTCTCCCGGTTCTCTGCTGGCTCTGCTTTGATCACCTTCATGTTCTCACTGCTGTCACCTCAGGGCCTGCGCACCTGTTTCTCCCTGGGCCAGCATGGTCAACTCACATATTCTTTCCTTCCCGTGTGGCACTTACTGAGGAAGCCCCTCTAAAACTACAGCCATGTATCATGAAGCGATGGCTCTGCCCATAATCCCAGCATTGGGAAGTGAAGGTAGGAGGATCAAGTTCAGGGCTATCTTGGTTACACATGGAATTCAGTCAGCTGGGACTACCTGACACCTCATCCATTATAATAACCACCTGCGGCCTTGGTGTTGGTCCACAGCTCAGGGCCTTGTGTTTGCCTAGAGCATTAAACTTCGAAGTTGGACACTACCCAGCACCACCCAATCAGCCTTCAGTCCAAACCACAGCCTCCTGGGAATGCTGGTGCATGCTCACCCTCCAGGCTGGGGCTGTCCCCAGCACCTGTGTCAGGTGGCTCACACTGCCTGCTCTACATCCAGCTCAGGGAATCTGACAGCCGCTTCTGTCCTAGCACATGCAGGCACTTAAACACACACACACACGGAAATCAAAAGAAATCTTTTGTAACAAAAGAAATCCACAGGGAACTGGGCATGGTGTCTCATTTCAGTAATCCCAGCGCCCAGGAAGCTAAAGGACTGCTGTGGATATGAGGGAGACCCTGTCTCAAAACATTCCTAACAAATCATCTGTTAGCCCAGCCTGATCCCAGGCCTGTAATTTCAAAGTGTGGAGAGTCCAGAGCCTGCATCCTCCTCCACTGTAGAGTGAGTCAGAGGACAGCTTGCAACAACAGAAGACGCTAATTGGTGCTAACTTAAAATGGGACTTTTTCACCTCTGCCCAGCTCCTGACAACCAAGCTGGAGACAGAACCTTTGGAGCAAAGAAAGAGCTGGAGAATTGGGCCTTAGAGGCAAAGAAAAAATGCAGAACACCCATGTGCATGAGTATAGCTACTCATGGCCTCAGCAGGGGTGCTCTACGGGCATTTACTACATGAGGAATAGCGCACATTTCTACATTATTTTTATGTGTGTGAGTGTTTGGCCTGCATCTTGTATATGCACTTGGGAATGTCTAATCCCTACAGTGGCCAGAAGGGGGCATCTGATTCCCTGGAACTAGATAGATTCCTGGAACTCAAAGTTTAGGGAGAGAACCAACTCCAACAAGTTCTCCTGTGGCCTTCACTTGACTTTAAGGCACAGGGCCCACCCATAAACACACACATTAATGTGATTTTAATGAAAGGAAATTTCTGGACTCTAGTGACAGCTCAGTTGGTAGACAGCCTGCTTGACTAGTAAGCATGAGGCCCTGGGCTCTCTCCACAGTGCCTACAGCTCAGGATGGTAGCACAGGCCTATAATCCCAGCATTCGGGAGATGGGACCAGGAAGTGCAAAAAGTCCACTAATCCACCCCTAACCCCCCAAAGCAAGAAACCAGATTTTCCTAATTCTGCCTCCTAAGGACAGTAATGAGCCATGAGCCACCAAGCCTGGACATTTAAGAATTACGTAGAGGGGGGAATGGAGCACTAGGGCTGGTCCCCTGAGGTGCTGAGTTCAATTCCCACCACCCTCAAGGTGGATGATAAACATCTATAGTGGGATCTGATTTCTTCTGGCATGAAGGCTTACATGCAGATAGAGAACTCAGATACGTGGAAATAATAAAGGAATATTGTTTTTAAAAGAAAATTAAGTGAAATGTATGAGAAGGCAAGAGTAATAACTACAAACCCGAGGATGGAGTCATTTTCATTTTATTAAAATTTAATGGATAAAATCAGTACATTAATGGGAACCTTGTCACATTTCAACATGTAGTGTTCAACTATCAGGTGACAACTACCTTTTCAACAGTTTGTCTCCCCTTCTGGTGACAACATCTCAGATTCTCTCACCCAGCATTTTCCTCCTCTCCCTTGTTCCCCTCCTCTACCATGAACCAATCAGGGCCTGAGAAGGCTTACAGGGTAAAAGTGCTTCCCATTGCAGACCTGATGACCTCAGTGCTGAAGGCATTCCCAGGCCATGTGATGGAGGAAACATGACCTCGACACCCTCAACTGTATAGTCAGTCTGTCTGTCGGCCTATCTGTGTCTACCTGTTTCTGTGTGTCTCTGTTACATATACAAACAAACTTTTAAAAATTGGTTAAAATGTGCAAAAAAAAATATAGATACCCAGAGACATTAGCCTGCAGTCCCGGCTACTGGGGAAGTGGTGTGAAGGGTGAGAATAACAAATTCAAGGGTAGCCTGGACACCCTGACAAGACAACAACAAGATACAACGGGGTCGATGCTGTGAGCTCAATGAGGATCACCTGCACAGGAGCTCTAGGCCCTGGACCCAATCCCTATTGCTGGATCTGGAAGACAAGGGGAGAAGAAAATGGAGGGAAGGAGGGAAGAATGGAGCCAGGGAGATGGACAGAGGGAGGGTAACACTGATGATCTGATTACTAAAATGAAAACTTGGGAATAGTTTTAAATGTTTTAGAATTCTGCAATTGTTAATGCATTCTTTCTGAATATTTCAGGAGTTTCTGAGATTCTGAGGAAACTGGGGTATCTTCAAGAACAAATTTGAAAGGCTGGGCATTTGTGACTAAGGGTAGCTGAGCAGGAATCCAAGGTCAGCCTCAGGCTTGTACCAAGTTTGAGGGCAGCCTAGACTGCATAAGACCCTCTCAGATATAAAATAAATAAATATATTCTTAAAACTCCCATCCAATTCTGAGGTGCGATGGGCCTGTGATACAGGGCTATGATTCGAGCCACCTGGATGTGCTGAGCCAGAAGAGGCTGCAGAGTTAGTTAAGGCTAGCCCAGATGACTCCCCAGGATAGTCTCAACGATGACAAGAATGTGTCTGGCTCAGTATCTATCATTTGCTAGGCATAGGGTTTAATAACAAAACTTCTTTCAGATGTAAGACATAGAAATTAAAAACTACACCTGTTGCTCTATCCATGGCTGTAACCCAAGGTACAGAAAGCAAAGATAGGCATGCTGACAGGAGTCGGCCTGGACAGCCTAGCAAGTTCCAGGCCCAATCTGGGAGACACAGAACTTGCCTTGAAAAAAAATAAATGAATAAAAGAGAATGTGGGTACAGCACTCACACCCATAATGCTATCAATGATGTATAGTCTTCCCATCAGCTGTACAACCTTGGGGATCACCTGTGATGGGAACAAGGGAGTATGGAGCCTGAACTAAATGTCAGAGTTAAGACCACCTGTGGGTTTTGGCCCACCATCTGAGGCAGAACACAGCCTAAGAGGTTCTGAATGAAGTCTCAGGTAAAAATAAGGGCAAACAGGCTCAGTGAAAGTGTCCCTGAAAGTATAGATGTGAGATTTCTCAGGCATGCTATAGAAGGAGACCTCTCCCAGCTCATAGTCCAGGAAAACGCCAATGTTTCTGGGTGTTGTGACCTTCAGCTTAGAGTTTGGGTCAGCAGATCCTGAGACCACAAAGTAGTCACCCTGCCAGAGGATCCTCCAGCATTTCTCAGGGGCAGAGGAGGACCGCCTTGCCCCAGGGGACAGATTGGCTTGGCAGATACCAATAGCCCACTCGGACTTCTTTCCCACCTTCACCTCCCAGTAATGTCTCCCCGAATTAAAATTTGGAATCCCCAACACAACACGACTCCTGATAAACCTTTTTGAAGAACGTGGAAGACCTTGTTTTTTCTTTAATAATGTGACACATTTTCTATCCTCAGACACAAGCAGGTTTAAATGGGCTGTTTCTGGGTCTAGAGTTACCTGAACTGTAAATCGCTGTATAAGTTTCTGTAGAGCTGAATACTGAGGAGGAAAGTTGTAGGCTTCTCTTCTTATCTGAGCTGGGAAAATGACTGGGGGAAGAACACTCAAATGTTGCTGGTGGAAATCCTTGACTGTCGACAGCATTTCTAGATCTGAGAGCTGTCTGTTCTTCTCCACATAGCCCCTGAAACTGTTGGCTGTGGGAATAAAGTGTTCTAATGCTGCTATGTTTTCGCTCACTTTCTGCTTGAGATCCTTCTCCTCGTCCTTTAACCTGGAGAAAGCTTTCTGCTGTTCTCCATCTAAAAACCGGCTTAGTCTCTCAAATT